TACTGCCAACCAGTTTCTATTGCTCATCGGTGAGCCCACGCATGCCCAATTCAGACGAAATGGCTGTTGAGCGAAATAAATGCCGATTTACCAAAAGGACAATCGGTTACTTCACGACATTTACACTGAGCGCTGTACTGTGCTTGGAGCATAACCCTATAAGCCGCGAATAATGATATCCAACCTGTGTTTTCTGTCCAAATTCAAACATTGCAGTGCTCACACTGCAGACGTCCATTTAGCTGTGACGCAAGGTGGCAGATATTCCATGCGTAATGTAACTTGAACAATGAACAATGATATATTACAGGGAAAAAAGCGTTTGCTTTGCAAGTCCCGTTGGATAGTTAGAGTGAAAGCAAACATAGTATAAGTAGCCACTAAGCGTCTAGCAATTCAGATGCCCTGCTTCATTAAAATATTTTGGAATGCGTATTGGATTGTTACTATTGAGTAATCTGGAGAACGTATGCCTTAAGAACAAAAGAAACGACAACGCTCCCTCGTGCGCCGCTTTCTTGGACTGATGTAATTGCTGAATGCATTTGTAGCATATCCGAACGATATTCCACAGCAGCAGCGTGTAAGTGGTGAAGCACGAAAGCTGAAAATGAGCACCGTATGCGAGAGCTTAATTCCAAGGACGAGAATACGAATGAAAGAAAACTTATTTATCACTGCCTACTCCAAAGTTTGCAACAAACTACCCCAAAACACGGGTTTCAAATGTCTTAAGAAATAGCTTGCTGTGCAAAATATCCTTTCCATGTTACGGATGTCTCAGCCTCAGGAAACAGTATTCGACAATGGCGCCGCCATCGAATAGGAGCAAACTAGTCATTGTTGCATTCGGTCACTGACTGTAAAAGAGAGTTGCTTCAATTTGAACCTGATGGAACCATCATATCGTCAATTTTTGTCACTTGGAAAATGCTAACCGCATTCCATCTATGAGCCAAGAACCAAAGTACAACAACCATAATTGTTACGTGACGAAATCAGATCTATATATGTCCTCATATGAGTATGTGGAACTTCTTCCTCGGCACTTTTCCCTGACATACTCAACTACTTCCACTTGTTAGCACATGCTGGAGTGAATTCTCAATAAACCTATATTGGAAGATATCGCTTGTGAAACAACCCTGTGTATCTTTTGATCTGTAACTATCCGCGAGCCGATCGCGCACTGCCCGTGACATAAAGGATTCACTGATTTATTGTGTGTTAGTGCACACCGGTTGTCGCGTCACTCAGCTTGGCGATGTGCAGTGGTTCACATGCGGCTTCGCGTTCACCTCACAGACATTCTATGCGCAACTCAATTTCGTTCCCCTCACATTCGTTATCACGGCCATTTACGGCATAATTGTTGACCGAAGTACTCCGATTTGCTTTACCGACTATCGGCCGTGTTATTGGTGTAGGTTATATTCTAACCAGCAGTTGGTGTCCTCAGACTGTAACATTCTCACCTCGTCATCGCGCGGGTGACAACGTCCGGCCACACATGCCTACATGTTTCCCAACCCCCACTCCCCATTTAGTTGACTGACGCCGGCCGAGCCATGAGGCCATTACCCGACTGCGCGCAATCACTGCCGACGCCGACACCCCCGAACTTGAGAGGGTAACCAACGATTTAGCTTCGTGATCTACCGAGTATACTAATTGGGAAGTGGTATAGAGACAGTGAATTTCCTGTCCATATCTCAGCTCTTAGTGGGTGTGCTCATCACGTATTCGGACGTTTTTGTCGATAAACTGTGGAAGCTGAACTAGTATTCGGCTATTTAATAATTACGGCTGGATTCTCAGTCCTACCTTATTTTCGGAGGTCAAAATCGGAAGGCGATAAAGCGACTGCTATCAGCAAAGCTATTGAGCCAGTCCCATACATTTAGTGGGTAGCTCCGGTAGTTTCAGTCGTGAAGTCGAATGGTTCTGTGCGCACTTACTGTGAGTATAACCTAACTGTTAATTGTTGTTTATTTTTGAATTTGTATCCATTACGGCGGATCGAGGATCTGTATGCTATGCTAGCATACGGACAAAACTTCACACAGATTGACTTCAGTCACGATTTCTCACAAATTGAGTTGAACGTGATCTCACGATAATGTACTACGACAAGTACCCACATGGGTCGTTTCCCGTACTAACGCTTGCCCTTCGGTAGCATTTCCGCTCGGCAATATTTCAAAGGATCATCGACAAACTGAGCAATGACAACCTCTTTATTACAAGTCGCACAGATGCTGGACTTGTTCAAACGATGTCCACTATATTCGAACATCTACAACTGAGTGGACTCAAATTGAAGACGTCCAAGAGTAACTATTTCTTTATTACTTTGCTTATCTTGATTACCTCCTCCAGAAAAAATGTCATTGCCCGTGTTAGATGATAAAGACATGCCCATCCTTTTTGCACTAGAACCGAGGAATGAGGCTGAACTTTAATCATGTTTGTAGATGTTTACTCACTATCGTCGCTTCTTACCTAACGCCTCAACAGTATTTGCACATTTGTACGATCTGTTGCACAAGGAGTAGGTCTAGATTTTGTGTGCAGATCAAAGAAGAGCCTTCACAGATTCAAAAAGTGCGCTCAGCGCCTCGCCGTATCTGGTGCATTCTGATCCGAAGCCGCCTCTAGTGCTTCAGTGTGATGCGTTGCCACTCGAGGAAGGCCTAGTCCTTTGTTATCAGGTGGATGACGGTTCTGGTCGTTCAGTCGTTTTTGCTTCTCGCACCCTGCAATCCACTGAAGGGAACTACTCCAAACTAAATTATTTTCGGAGGTAGGCATTCCTTCTGGTACGTCTGGGGAAAGCAATTTGATATATGCACTAATTATAAACCGCTTCTTTCGCTTTATTATGAGGAGAAGGAAATCTACTAGGTATCTTTGCCTCGAATGCAAAGGTGGACACTACTTTTGAGCAGACTTCAGTATGCAAACGGACCTAGTAATACTAGTGCCGGTGCATTTAATTACCTCCTGCAACAACAAGGCTTAAAAACGAACAATGAACCTATGAAGTTTATCACTCTGATGCAACGCCATGAAAAGACACCGTTCCGGATTGAGTTAGTGCGGCGCTTGACGGACCGGGACCCTGTGTTGTCGATGGGGAAGCGGTTCTTGATGGCCGGATAGCTTAAAAGCACGTCAGACGAACTGAAACCCTTCGGCTGTCGGAATAATGAGTGAAGTCTCTACGGGGGCTGTATGTTTCGAGGCTCGCGCAAAGTTCTACCTGACGAACTAAGACCCAGTTGCTGAGAGAGTTGCAGGAAGCATACCATTGAGTGAACAAGATTAAGACACTGGCACGTGGTTACTGGTGGTGACCGAACATTGACCAGAATATACTGTGGCTGCTGAAAAATTGCGAACAATGTCAGCAATACCGAAGACAAAATTCTTCCGGACCGGTACGTTCATGGCGGTGGCAGGAGAGGCCCTGGCAACGGGTACACGCGGACTACTTTAACGCGATCAATGGGATGATATGTATATTTTCGAGTGCTGCTCACCCTAAATGGATATAAGTATATACAGCTTCACATGCGACTTCCGCAGCATCACTTGCAAAAATGCGTTCCATATTCGCCATCTTCTGGATCTCAGAGACGGTATGTATCGACAACGGAACACCATTTCCCAATGGTGAGTTCCAACAATCCCTGAGTAACAATGGAATAGTGTACATCAAGTCTGTGTCGTACCATCCCGCATCAAGTGGAATTGCAGTGGGTGCAGTCCATGCTGTTAAGCAGACTCATGGGACTCTGCTAATTTGGATCGTCTCTTGTTCTCTTACCGCACGACACCGACTGAGTCGACACCGCGGAGTTAGTGTTTGGTTGGCCAGTACGAACGAGATTGCACTTCCTTTTTCAAATCCTCGAAGGAGCATGGAAGCAAAACAGGACATGGTGTGTGGGGATGACATGATGCTAGAGGAAATATACCTCAATGATTTTGATCCAGTGTACACAAGGCTGCCTCACGTAGCAAGCTGGCAATCTGCAACTAGTAACCAAGCAGAGCTGCAACTGGAGGACGGCCGTGTGTGCGCAGCCACTTTAACCATGTCCGGCCAGCCTCAGTCGAATGGTATGAGCTGAATCAACAATTGACTGCCACAAATGCAAAAATGAATGGGGAATCGTCCTGACAAAATAAGGAAGCGCAAACTGCTGCACAACAACCTGCATTAAGACGTTCAATACACACACCTAATCCACTTAATCTATAGCAAGTCGGAGCCTGCAATCTTTAACAGCCTGGAGAGTGGTGTGATGCTTACACTTGGATATTGATCGGGGACACAGGTGCTCACGTGATTGGTTGCCATTGACCTTGCTATAGATTCCTTCTTCCATTGATTTTCCGTTTCTGCATTTCTACCCGCTGTAACGTAGGAGCCATTCATTAAACGGTTCCACAGTACACGTGAGACTTCTGCTTTTTCCATCGGGCTGCGGGTCGTACTTAACAAACTGCATGGGCTCTAACCAACTCATGCCGACCCTTAGTAAAACTCGGCAACAGCACCTCACTGAGAGGTCACCATTTGAAGTTAGCGACACAGTATAGCCAGTGGGAATGCCACTGGGTTTTTCTCAGTTTCTGTATTCAAGTCATGGAACTTACTTCAGCATTTTGTCAAATCTGCTCCCATATGGTCCAAATTCAAAACTCGACTTCATGATGCCATGCATCGCCTGCATTAGTTGAGTTAACCCGAGTTACTGAGACATGCGCCAACGTAACCAAACAATGTACACACTTGAAATTTGCGGTAAGTCAACCGCTACGCAATTTTTATTTTTCTACAACTAATGTTAATTGCACACTTTAATTTAAGAAACGGTCAAGCGTTTGCTTTTATATCCCTGCTAAGTCTTGTTCCATTATTCTATACTTATGTATGATATGAATTTATGCGTGTTCGTTCCAGTTACGTATGGTGTACTACTTTCCTGTAGGCGTTCGCTACTGAAATGAGGACTAAAAACGGAGAGCACGATGAGATGTGGACGATCTCTCTGAAACGAATTCATCAACTGGTCGCCGGTATTCGACTTATACGAGATGCGACTACATCATGGGGTCCTCAACTATCTTTGGAAACTGCTACAATGAAATCAACTAGCTTGAGGAGAAAAAATTGTCTTCCTATTACAGCAACAACTTCCCCTATCCAAGCGCCTATGTCAAGTCGAACAGGGTTTCGGGAGACCAGTCGACCGGATCTACTCGACAGAGGTGACCTGAAGCATATTCCTCCTTTGCTTGTTTTGGGTTGATTCACTAGGGCTCCTCAAGCGTTGCTTTTAACTAGAAGGCTACAGCGTTGCTGTATGGGATTTCCACCAGTGTAATGCTTTAGTGGCAACACGCGAAAAGTGGTGGTTACAATACCATGTCTTAACATGTAACTTGAACCTATTTCACTAGTCAGTGGACGGAGATAGACAGGATTGGTGCGTTTCATGTTCTTAAGTATGCTCACTAGCGTCTTATGCCTACTCAATAAGCTAGGGGAGATTGCTGGTTTTCAACGCATTTGATTTGCGAAATGACTGGCGTGCTTCCTTATAGGATATTCGGATTAGTAAACGCCCAACACCACCGTCACACATCAAACACGTTCTGGATTTGCCGGTCACTATGGCCTCCATAGGACAGCCACAGGACGCCTGCACATAGCGAGGGACCATGGGCAGCTTGCGCTTCACCACTCACAGCTCCATCCACACACCCCATATCCAATGCAAAGTCTAAGGAATATGAATTGGAGGCATGTGGACGGAAGCCACTTTTTATCAACGGAGCCGGCCCACACTGCTTCCAAATGCAGAGCAGCAGCAGTACCTGCTTGTGCGGGAGAGCCTATGGTGCGGTGAGGCTTGTAGTGGCTAGATGCTGACAGATGGTTCACCCACTGCTGCTACTGTTGTGCCGCGGGCTCCTGTCCTGGTCAGTCAACTAACCATGGGTTAAACTTGCCGCCTTTCGGGTGTATATTTAATCGAAGGCTTTGGTCCAAGACCCGAGTCGTTCTCCTGTCAGGTGTGGGCGCCCTGCTAGTATCCTAGTTCATCCTCTTCAGAGGTTAGGAAGTAGTTGATGGCCTCCTTCCTTTAAAACATAGCCATGGGAGACAACAGGTCCACGGTTATAAGCTCACAGCTCGATTGGCGTAGAGCACGGACGCCACGCTTTGTCTCTGGGGGTTTAGGGCACCTCCGGGTGCTCAATGGTTTGTTACTGCCCGCCTCAAGACAGGCAGTCCCTGGACAAATTAGCGCAAACCCGCCAAAACCCTCCTGCGACTGGCCGTGGTCGCAGATGTGTGTCCTACTACAGTCGCAAAACACAAATGAATTGTTCCAGCTCTTTCTTCGTCCCACGAAGTGACGAACCTCAAGCAGATCCTATTGGATCACTGCACTCAAATTGCCGAGCTGTATCTGCTCCCCACTGCCCTGTGTGTTAGGCTATTGAGCCAAAAGGCTTCGGACTGAGTCCTCAAGCAAATTTCCGAAACACAGCCACCACCATGTGCGCGATTGCCCACCAATGCAATCGGTTGTCTGCGCGCAAAGCACTCAACATCGGGTGTTGGAGCGTGCGCACACTACTGGACCGGAACTTGAGTGAGCGCCCCGAGCGATGCAATGTAGTGGTGGCGATGCGACTGGCACCGTAATACATCGACATTGCGGCGTTCAGTGAGGTCTGGCTCGCTAAAAATCGTAAGTTATATGGAGCTGGAGTGAGCTACATATTCTACTAGGAGGGACACGCCACCTTAGCAACACGTGAATTTGGGGTCGGATTTGCACTATCCGATAGTCTAAATGGCCAGCTGGTGTGTGAGCCCACTGACATCAGCGCACGACTGATGCTTATTCGCCTACTACTCGGAAGGGGTAGGTTTGCCACTTTAATAAGCACTACGATCCGACTGTGTTATCTTGATGACAGGCGGGATCAATTATGAACATAGCTATCCTCCGTGATATGGTCTGTGCCGAGGAGCGACCAACTATTTCTGCTGGGTGATTTCAACGTGCGCGTTGGGCGAGATGTATCGGTGTGGACACATGTTATCAGGTCCGCATGGCATTGGCTCAGCGAACGCTAACGGTGACATGCTGCTCTCATTGTGTGTCACTCATGGTCTGACGATCAGGAACACTCGGTTTGCACTGACTGCGACTGGTATAGCACCTTGGACGCACCCAAATAGTGCTCAGTCTCACCTGCCCTACTGTGTCCTCGTACCTCAGCATGACATGCGTGAAGTGCGCTTGACACAAGTATAGCATGGAGCTGAACGTGACACTGATCACAAGTTGGTGCGGACCAAACTGTAGATACATTTTCCTCAAGCTGTGTATTGCGCTCTTGTCATGAACCGGCGTAAATTTGACATCCTCTCCCTCGGTATTGTAGAAAAACTTATTGTGCTGGAGAAGGCGATGGCTGCACGCCTGTGCAATGTGGAATGCATAACGTCAGTGGGCGACCTGTGGCACCACATTTGCTGCCAGGGACAGCTGCTGCCGAAGAGATCATCGGGGGCGCAAATGCTAAGCGGCCCGATTGGTTTGATGCGAACATTGCGACGATTGGCGCATTGGTGGCTGAGAAGAATGCAGCATTTGTTGCACATGTGGCAGACCTTAGTGATTTGGGGAAGAAGAGCGAGCTTTGCAGGATTCGACGGCAAATGGCTCGTGAGCTCCGTCGCAGTAAACATGCATGGTGGACGGAGAAGGCGAATCAGATGGAATGCTACGCCGAACGCCGCCAACACAAGGAAGGCGGTGTATAGACGGAGGTTGGAGCCGCTTAGTACGCTGCTCGATGCTACTTCAGGCGCTGCCTGCACGCAGACTACAGACATAATGCAGATAAATAAATAAATAAATTTTATTCTCGGCTACGCGAGGCACGTCATCAAAGGCATGAGCACTGTAATAGTACAACAATTGAGCAAGGAATGTGCAATAGTATAGTCGGATTTTCATATATGTGGATCCATAAATGTAGTATATAGGTAGGTGTGTTGCTTGTGTTAGTTACCTTGTTGCTGTCTTTTGGATGAGTTTGATGGAATCGTCAATGTCTAGAGGAATGTTTACCATCTGTGGATTTGCTAAGATTGTCCGAGTAAGCAAGGGCAGGGACTTTATTTAGTGACGAGTCACATCCGCCACGTCACAGTGTCGTTCAGCAGACATCTGTGGCTTTTAAGAGGGAGAACGCTTGCCACGCGAAAATTCGCCACCTCCTGGAACACTGCCGCCGAACTATTTGCTGGAACGGGGTAAGCTCGAACCACCCAACTGGCTCCACGAGGAGGTAGTTCGGCCACCCAGACGTTGAGAGATCGACTGGACTGGGTTGCACGAGCTGCAACCACACCAGGTGAAGAAGTGTCGTGCCGATGCACCGCCTCTGGATGAGATGCAAAGAGCACATGCTTAGCTGCGAAACGGCAAGTGTGCCGGTGCCAACGGGATCCCGCCTGAATTATTGAAACACGGCGGACCTGCGTTGGTGAATGCGCTGCACCACTTGGTACAACGTGTGTTGTTTGAGGAGGCGCCTCCTGATCTTAAGGACGCCTTTGTGCTACCACTATACAAGGGCTAAGGAAGCATACAATATTGCACGAATTAGCATGGTACCAACTTGCTGAGTTGTGTATGCAAGTTGATTGCTCGGATCCTGTTCAACCGCCTCGTCAGTCAGGTTGTGGAACTGAACTTGACGGAAGTGCATTGTGGATTCCGTTCGGGTCGCGTCTCATCAGTTGCAGAAGTGCAGAGAACGACATTAGCCGTTGTACTCGCTGTTTGTTGATTTCACCAAAGTATTTGATACGGCGAACCGCGAGGCATTGTGGCTGGTGTTAAGTTTGGTTTTCTGATTAAGTTGGTAAGTTGGATTGTATGTCCGCACAGTGGTATACTTGCGACGGTGCAGCTGAGTGGACAGATCTCGGATGACTTTACAGTCGTCTCTGGTGTGAAGCAAGGCTGTGTCTTAGCTCCTGCCCTGTTTAATATTTATCTTCATGCCATGATGTCTTGTGCTCTTGATGCGGCTTGTGCTTACGGTGTACGTGTGGAGCACCGGATTGATGGTGAGTTGCTGAACGTCCATGATAAACAGGAAGTACAGTCACGTTCTAGTCGCCGGCGATTTCAACTTACATGCTCTAGAATCCCACTCCACATCAGGGGAGCAATTCAAAGCAGACCTACGAGATATTATCTCAAAGTTTCGGCCTTATGGCCACGTCACTTCGTCCACCAGATTCAAGGGAAATAACAGGCCATCCATATTGGACCGAATATTCACTAATGAAGTACTGATGACAGAGAGAGTCATAATCGATACTCATCTAGGCCGCAGTGATCATGCGACTTTCCATTTCATGTACACTTGTTATGCTGGATATCCCGAGGACTGAACACAAACAACGCGAACTGTTAGCAGTTACGACACCTTAACCAGAGTAGTTGAAGCGACCGACTGGAGTTTCCTAGCCGACGAAGCACCCGATATTGCCTGGGAACGTTTTGTCAGTATGTTTAACACCCTGGTTAGTGGAGCATCGCAAACCAAGACTAACAGTCCGAGAAACATAGCGTCCTTTATACGGAGTAGGACACGCAAAAGCATGGTGATGCACAACGCGGCGTGGTATACCCACAAAACTGAGCCGAGTCCGAATACCTGGAAGGCATACGTTGTCCAGCTTAACCACTGTACCCAGTTAGTGCGCGAAGACAAAGTAGCGTATCAACAAGTCCTAACCGAGCGATTAACTTCAAATCCTAAGCTTCTGTACAAGCATGTGAACAGTCTCCGCAAAGTGAAAAGTGGATTTTCCCCTCTTCAAACAGCGGATGGTCTAACTCGGACTGCTAAAGTAGCGTCAAATGTTCTGCAACAACTATATGCACCAACATTTCATTGCATCCCGTGGTCTCCTGAATCGTTGGAAACTACGGTGCTTCCACCAGGACTCACTCATATAAATCTTACGGCACACACCATGATGAGAAAACTGCTATGCATGCGCCTGCACGCCTGTCCAGGAATTGTCGACATCTGCCCAAAGACGCTTGCTGTGGCAGCTACTATGTTGGCTGAATTTTTGTCGCGGCTGTACCAGCATTGTCTTGAAGAGCGGCACGTTCCTGTAATTTGGAAACACGGAATAATAACTCCCATTTGCAAAT